CTTTTCAAACTGTTTTGTTTCTAGTCTTCTGCGACTGTAAATGAGCTTTCTGTAGAACACTTGTTGTGTGGCTTTATCATTTGTCATGTGTTCTGGGAAGGCGAGGGCAATTACAAGACCCAAACAGACGTCTATTCACTGAACATACACGCAATCAGTATTCCACAAGTACCCTCAGGATGTACTTCCCAGGATAAGCTACTGTAGTGGAGTAGTTAGTGACTAGTTTTCCATTAAAACGCACCACTGGGTTAGTTCTGTGTAATCACATTTTTTTTTTCACTGACATTTGTAATATATTGCTGCGAACTATTTTAATTTGAGTGCACTTAAGTGGAAGTCAAGGGATAAAACAACAGTTGTATTTTCAAGTGGCCCAAGAGAGCTGCCGTTCCACTCGCTGACCAAACCAAGGAAGATCAAACCATAACGAACTTGAAAAAAAAAAAGAAGAAAAAAAAACAAGCAGGGTTAATGTGAAACCACAGCAGTGTTCTAATGTACACTTAACTAAAGCATTATTAGGAACACCTTTTCAATTTCTCATTAATGCAATTATTTAATCAACCAATCACATGGCAGTTGCTTCAATGCATTTAGAAGTGTGGTCCTGGTCAAGACAATCTCCTGAACTCCAAAATGAATGTCAGAATGGGAAAGAAAGGTGATTTAAGCAATTTTGAGCATTGCATGCATCTCAGTTCCTGGGATTTTCATGCACAACCATTTCTAGGGTTTACAAAGAATGGTGTGAAAAGGGGAAACATCCAGTATGCGGCAGTTCTGTGGGCGAAAATGCCTTGTTGATGCTAGAGCTCAGAGGAGAATGGGCCGACTGATTCAAGCTGATAGAAGAGCAACTTTGACTGAAGTAACCACTCGTTACAACCGATGTATGTGTTATGAACTGTTCCGAGGCAAGAAAATGGTTGAGGATCCAAATGCAATTTATTAAGGTTAATCCAAATCGTAATCAGAATCAAGGCAAAGGTCATACACAGGCAGACAATCCAAACAAACAGACAAATCCAGAGGGTGAGGCAGGAAAGGGAAAACCAGGATACGGGCAGAGATCAAGAACCAGGAACAAAGGAAATGCTCAGAAATGCAGTGGAATAACGTACAAGACTTCGCAGGGAACGATGAGGTGAACCAGGCTTATATGGGTGAACTAAACAATATAATGAGACACAGGTGAATGCGATAATCAGGGCAGTGAATTATGGGAAATGTAGTTGTGAGTGAACAATGATAGTCTGATGTGGAGTGCCCTCAGGTGGCTCTCAAGGGCACTCCAGCTGATAACCGTTACAGTATGCAGCAAAGCATTTGTGAAGCCACAACATGCACAACCTTGGATGGGCTACAACAGCAGAAAACCCCACAGGGTACCACTCATCTCCACTACAAATAGGAAAAAGAGGCTATAATTTGCAAGAGCTCACCAAAATTGAACAGTTGAAGACTGGAAAATTGTTGCCTGGTCTCATGAGTCTCGATTTCTGTTGAGACATTCAGATGGTAGAGTCAAAATTTGGCGTAAACAGAATGAGAACATGGATCCATCATGCCTTGTTACCACTGTGCAGGCTGGTAGTGGAGGTCTAATGGTGTGGAGGATGTTTTCTTGGCACACTTTAGGCCCCTTAGTGCCAATTGGGCATCGTTTAAATGCCACGGCCAACCTGAACATTGTTTCTGACCATGTCCATCCTTTTATGGCCACCATGTACCCTTCCTCTGATGTCTACTTCCAGCAGGATAATGCACCATGTCACAAAGCTTGAATCATAAATTGGTTTCTTGAACATGGCAATGAGTTCACTGTACTAAAATGGCCCCCACAGTCACCAGATCTCAACCCAATAGAGCATATATGGGATGTGGTGGACAAAGAGCTTCGTGCCCTTGATGTGCATCGCACAAATCTCCATCAACTGCAAGATGCTATCCTATCAATATGAGCCAACATCTCTAAAGAATGCTTTCAGGACCTTTTTGAATCAATGTCACGTAGAATGAAGGCAGTTCTGAAGGCGAAAGGGGGTCAACCACAGTATTACTATCATACTAATACTGTGTTTGACCCCCTTTCCCCTTCAGACATTAGTTTACTAACCTAACAGATTATTACGAACAGTTTTCCTAATAATCCATTAGGTGAGTGTAGTTAGTAAACTAATGTGGTTTAGAGTTAACTACACTGCTAACATACAGTACAATAATAATAAACATAGTGAGTTCCCTTGTTGTCTAGTGCCTACATAGGCAACTGCCCTCTAAAGCAGCATCCTAACTTAAACAAAACCTTGCAACTTGCTTGATTTGGAAAGATTTTTCTTCTGCAATATACTCTGCATGTCATTCAAATAGCATTCCTCACACGAAGCACACATGAGTTCAGTGGAGTTTGCCAACGCATTCTCACCCCAAGGCGTCACCTTTGACCATGCTTCAATATTTGAGGTTTTAGGTGCCCTTTAGCGTCACTTACATGACGCGATCCTACGGCGTCATCTAACTGACGCTAAAGGAAAGCGTCAGTTAGAGGACGCGGTTAGGTTTAGGTGTGGGGTGGGGGTAGGGTACACGCGATCCTAGGGCGTCATCTTACTAACGCTAAAGGGCGCCTAAAGCGTCAGATATTGAAGCATGTCCAAATGCTTCCCAAGGCGTCAGTTAAGTGACGCCTTGGGGGTGAGAATGGGCTGAGTTTGCTGTTAGTATGTTGCTAAGCTAACCTAACAATAAACTATAATAATAGCATATGGGATTACTGGGTAACATATTGCACTTCTATAGAATTTAAAATCTTAATTTAGTTTGAATGAGTTTATAATTGCCATTCATCTATGGTGGTTAAATAATAACTTAAACGAAAAAAAAAAAAAAACAGAAAAGCTTGTTTGAATTGCACTACTTGAAAAAATTCATTGCATTAATCCTTCAACATTACAATTCAATATTTGACATCCAGGAATGACAGGAATTGTATCAAATAAACTGACAAATCATGTGTAAATATAGCTCTTTTTCAGTGGGCCTACTGCATTATCTCATATTTATTTTAATATCAACTATCTAAAAAGTGTGTACCATAGACTGTAAAAAAGATGGACAACGCCCCCTCACTCTCTTCTATTGGTGAAAGTTGAAGCCGCCAAAGTCCTAATATGGTTCTGACATCTTACGCACATTTAGGACCTGTTTCTGCGCAGTAAAGAAGAGTGACTACTTCTCTCAGAGAAGCTGTCAATCGTGACATCACATTCCCGTTTTTATAGCATAGCATAACGAACTAAGACTTATTTAAAAAAAAAACGAACACTTAAACTGAAATCAGCGTGATAACAACTACCTAAAATGACAGCAAAAAAATCTTTGTAAAAAATGTATGTGAAGTGTAATTTCATTATTTAGTTTCCATCGTGTCCATTAGACTTCCTGGGGAGGCGGCGGCACGCTTGATCATGCCTGACACCTACATTAACAATTTACAGTTGGTTTTATGACTGGAAGTCATTCTCTTCAAATGCTATTGAAGTTATAAACATGTGTACCAATGTCGTATGTAACTTAAGAGACTCTAAATAGGTGAATATCAAATATCCAATAGCGAATATACCAATATTTCACTGGGAATCGTTTAGCGTGAAAGAATTTGTATATTCATCTTACTTCATCGTCTAGCTTAGATTTTTTCAGAGTTTGACCAAATAAAGGTATATTTCTATAGTCCACTAAAATGCAAACTACATAGGGTCCTCTTTAGGTTTTGAAACATAGCTTGAACTCCTTAAATTCTGTTTATTAGGGCCCGAGCACTAACAGTGCGAGGACCCTATTGAAACTGTTAGGATTATTAGGGCCCGAGCACTAACAGTGCGAGGACCCTATTGAAACTGTTAGGGTTTTTTTTTTTTTTTCTTTTTTTTTTTTTCTTTTATCTTTTTTCTTTTTTCTGCAAAGTAAGCGCCATTTTCAGGGCCTCAACATGCTCAAAAACTCACCAAATTTGGCACGCATGTCAGGACTGGTGAAAAATTTCGTATTTTGTGGGTTTCGAGGATGGGCGTGGCAAAATGGCTCCCTAGCGCCACCTAGAAAATTGGAAAAAATTAGCCCCTCGTCCACGTTTAACCTACAAACACGAAATTTGGTGGGGACGTGTATCATATCAAGACGCACAAAAAAGCCTCAAGAACCCATACCCTAAACTCAACAGGAAGTCGGACATTTTGAATTTGGCGCCCATTTTGGGGCGATTTACACACTCAGTACTTTAACGAACTCCTCCTAGGGATTTAGTCGTATCGACTTCAAATTTCTGCTGTGCCTTCTGAAGGCATTGACGATGTAAAATTGTGCTATCTGCGCGTTTTTGTCGATGAGCGTGTCCGTGGTGTCGAAGATTCGCCATGAAACAGGAAGTTGCAGTAACTTGGCTGTAAATGCCCAGATCTGCATGAAATTTTACACATTTGACAAGAGTCCCGCCCTGAACAAATCTACATGCCGACATTCACCCACAGTCATAGCGCCACCTGCTGGCAACAGGAAGTGACCTTTAATGAACCAGCGTAGCAAATTCACAGCCACAACAGCTGAGCTGCAAAATATGTAATGCGGCCACCTCACACCCCGACGCGCTACAGGTGCGAGGGCCCGCCCATCGCTGCTTGCAGCTTTAATTTGATAATTTAATTTGCACTTTAACGGAGAAAAAAAGGCCCAAAATACTGTGATATACAGGAAATAAAGAACTATTAAAAACTGTTTACATACGCTTTCCTGAGTTGAACAAGTGTGATAACATTTCATGAATGTTTAAAAAAGCATTTGGAAGGAGATTCTCTCCTCGTTTCAGAAATGTGTCACTTTCTCTGACGTATTTTTAACTGCATTTTTCTTTTGAATATTTCAATAGCTTTCAGTCCTTTTATGGGTTTAAAGTTGCACAGCAATGCATACACTGATTCGATTATTTCCTCTTTCTGCAGGTTTTTTGAGCACAGGAGACCAGGCAGCCAAGGGAAACTATGGACTTCTTGATCAAATCCAGGCCCTGCGCTGGACGAGTGAAAACATTGCATTCTTTGGGGGTGACCCTTTACGCATTACTGTTTTTGGATCCGGGGCAGGGGCCTCATTTGTCAACCTGCTGACTCTTTCCCATTATTCTGAAGGTAACCGTTGGAGCAATTCAACCAAAGGTACAATGCAGAGGTTTTTACTTTTGACATGTTTTTGTCTGCATGCTAAAGCTGTTTGTGTTATGTACTCATGTAAAAGGTCTTGTCTGTAGAAATGGCTAAAATTCATCTTTCTCACAGAAAAAAAAAAAATCTGTGTATTAATTTAAAAGTTTAATTTTCAATCTTAATTATGAAAAACCTGGGACAACCCATAGCTATTTATTTAGAGCTTTGCATTTATAGGTCAAATAATAAAAATAAAAACTGGCTGGACTACAGTATATATGAAGAGTTCAGATGCAAAAGCCTCTAAATGCCATTTGAAATGTTCTTCTAAAATGATCATTTTTATCAAGCTTATATATTCAAGTTCAGTAATTTCACTTAAATGACCATTAATAGGTAATCCTCATTGCAATTTAACTGAAATTACTGAACTTAAATATACAAGCTTGATAAAAATGATAATTCTAGAAGAAAATTTCAAATGGCACTTAGAGGCTTTTGCATCTGAACTCTTCATATATACAGAATGATCCTATTAATATCACTTGTTTATTAAAATTGTAATATCCCTGGGTCGTTTCATGTTCCCATCTTCATTTAGTTGAGTCCATACACATTACCAGGCACACCATGAGCACACTGTCCAAATACACCATTTACCTTCCATTGGCACAAAAAGGATAAATACATTAATTCCATTTTGAGTCTCTCTGCTTGGAAGATTGCTTTGTGAAGAGGTCTCCTGGCACAGACCTGCTTTAAGGTTGTCACTATCATTCAAATGAACCCGGAGGCACTTTTGGTAAACCGTGCACTGCTTAATCTTGAATAATTTTGATATATTTCACATATTTCCCTTTTCTTTTTTTTACATTTTAGCAGTGTATCCATTCACAAATATATTTGTCTGTTCATCCAAAATTGTCACAGTTTCTTTGAATTGCGAACTGAAACATACCCTTATCTCCATTTCATTTCCATGTCCGTTTTTATAGTTTTTGTCTTCTTTAGTAAAAACGTGTTTTACTCATAAATGCACTGTTAAGACTGAGATCCCAGGGGTTGTCATGGTAACAGAGTAACTCAATTTTCCTCTCTCTTGCTCTTTCTATCTGTCTTTCTCACAAGCACGCACTTTCTCTCTTGCTCTCTCACTTGCTTTTTTTGTCTTTACGTTTGTGCATGATATCTGCTTCTCTTCAATGGTATGGGTCAATTATTGACGTCTTTAGGTGAAAGGGGTTTACATGGTTCAAACGGCTATTTACTGTTAATGCGCTCTAATCAAAATTCTTGAAATAGTCACAATTCCCCCTTAAAATTACTCATCAAAGTGAAATATGGATCAGCTCTGTGTACCATCAGTATTAGCATGTTGACTTGCATGGCATCTTTTCCTTAACCATTTAAGATTTGCATAAAAACAGCTAAACTGAGATGTGTTTATTTTCTCCAGATTGCATTCGGAGGACCACATCAAAAAAAAAAAAAAAAAAAAACTACAGTGGGGTCCAAAAGTCTGAGAGCACATTGAAAATCTGCTATTTTTTCCATATAAACCTGAGATTAAAGGTTAATTAAAGTTTAGGATTTAAAAGAGGAAAATAAATTAAATAAGCAATGAGTGATTATTTTTATTTAATTGAATATTTCTTTATATATATATATATATATATATATATAATTTTGTTTCATTTGAACTATTTCTTGACTGATATAATTTGTAAAGAAAAATGTTGTTTTAAATAAATATAAACAAGTGGTCATTAGTGGTGTCAGACGTTTGGACCCTACTGTGGTATGCATTGATTTTTCTCTTTGTCATTCTTTTTTTCTTTTTTTTTTCCTGTACAGGTCTTTTCCAAAGGGCCATAGCCCAAAGCGGCACAGCCTTGTCCAGCTGGGCTGTAAGCTTTCAGCCGGCCAAGTATGCCCGAATGCTGGCCAAGAAGGTGGGGTGCAACCTCAAAGATACAGTGGATATGGTAGAGTGCCTACAGAAGAAACACTACAAAGAACTTTTGGAGCAGGACATCCAGCCTGCCCGCTACCACATCGCTTTTGGGCCCGTCATTGATGGTGATGTAATTCCCGATGACCCTCAGATCCTTATGGAGCAAGGGGAGTTCCTCAACTATGACATTATGCTGGGCGTCAACCAAGGCGAGGGGTTGAAGTTTGTGGAGCCCATTGTGGACAATGAGAACGGTGTTCAAGCCAACGATTTTGACTATGCCGTGTCAAGCTTTGTGGATGATTTGTATGGTTACCCTGAGGGGAAGGACATCCTTCGGGAGACCATTAAGTTTATGTACACTGACTGGTCTGACCGCCACAACCCGGAGACAAGAAGAAAGAGCCTGCTGGCACTCTTCACAGATCATCAGTGGGTGGCACCAGCTGTGGCCACGGCAGACCTCCACTCCAGCTTTGGCTCGCCTACTTATTTCTATGCCTTCTACCATCACTGCCAGACGGAGCAGGTCCCACCCTGGGCTGATGCGTCACATGGCGATGAGATCCCATATGTTTTCGGGTTGCCCATGATTGGTCCAACTGAGCTCTTCCCCTGCAACTTCTCCAAAAATGATGTGATGCTTAGTGCAGTGGTAATGACCTACTGGACCAACTTTGCCAAGACTGGGTAAGTCTCTAGGCAACAGTCCATTATTTCTAATCAATTATCCTTGAGGCCAACAATACAGCTATTAATTAGGATTTAGAAGTGATTTTGAATGCAAGTTTGTTTTTTTTCTAAGACCAACAACGCAAACATCTCATAATTCAGGAATTGAATTTGCTATTAAAGGTACAACACCTCGTTGTTACCAGGAAACAGTGCTACAAGGTTCCTGAGGTTTAATCATTGCTTAATTGTTTGCTAATGCATTCTCACTCACAAATACTTGTTAAGATTCCCAAGGTTATGCTACATTAAATTTATGCAACTGCTTTTTATGCAACAGCAATTTAGTTTGCTTCAATTTAGGTGTAATGCAGTGAATAAAGTAATGCTGATGATCACTTAGAGTGAGTTTAGTGTTTATATGACATTGCTGCCTAGACATATAATCATCTCACGGGAGGACAACAAATCAATTTGTGTGCAAATGTGTAATTTCTTCTCTCATATATATTCTCGTTAATTTTGAAAGCAGGTGCCGTTGTCAGGAAACCCTAATGAGCACTGAGAGAATATTAGTGGTCTCTAGGCACTCCCCTAAGACTTGACTGTAATGGTTTATGTGATATTTGTCTTAAGGAGTGAATTTCCATGCACAGTTCTGAACGAGGAATTGTAGAAATGTTCTTTTGTGTGGGGAGTACTGAAATCTTCCTTTTTACCTTTCAGCGACCCCAACCAGCCAGTTCCACAGGACACCAAGTTTATCCACACCAAGCCTAATCGCTTTGAAGAGGTGGCATGGATGCGTTACAACCAAAAGGACCAACTATACTTGCACATTGGCTTAAAGCCCCGTGTCAAGGAACATTACCGTGCCAATAAAGTCAACTTATGGCTGGAGCTGGTGCCTCACCTACATAGCCTCAATGAGGTCACCCAGATCATTTCCACCACCACCAAGTTGCCTCCACCTGAGGTCACTCCACGTACACCAAAGAAGATCCCAGTTAACACCAAGAGGCCCTACCCTACGCCGTTTCCCACCGAAACACAGGACAGCCACAACCAGAACCAGAACCAACCTTTCCTAGTGGACCAGCGGGACTACTCGACCGAACTAAGCGTCACCATCGCCGTTGGTGCTTCGTTGCTCTTCCTCAACATTTTGGCTTTTGCCGCACTCTACTACAAGAAGGACAAGCGAAGGCATGAGGTCCACCGACGTTGCAGCCCGCAGAGGACCACAGCCAATGAGCTACCCCATACGCAAGAAGAGGAGATCATGTCTCTACAAATGAAACACAGCGACTTGGAGCGGGAGTGCCGGGAGGCTATGCACCCGCACGAGGTGGTCCTGAGAACTGCCTGCCCGCCCGATTACACGCTTGCCATGCGCCGTTCACCGGACGACATCCCTCTCATGACCCCCAACACCATAACTATGATACCCAACAGCATGCCAGGCCTCACCTCCTTACACGCCTTCAACAGTTACTCCAGTGGACAGAATAACACCCTGCCCCATCCACACCCTCATTCACACTCCACCACTAGAGTATAGCCACACACACACACACGTTCTCACACACAAACACGAACATACACACACACATACACTCCCGCAGATGTGGAGTACGAGTGTGACAAAAGATGGGGGTGATGGCGCTGAGTTGAGGAATATCTTTACTCCATGTGCTCAAAGGAACAGGAAATAACAATGCCTTTGTTCCTAGAGATCAAAACTATCATTTTATATTAAAGGCGTGAACAAAAAAGACAAAAAAACTATTTCTGATGTAATGAAAAACAAACAGAGATGATTTTTTACCCTTATATTGTAACAAAAACCAGGGCCATTTCCTGAAAACAACCATCAGTATGGGATTCTTTGAGGAATGGTTTGATTCGGTTACCCGGAGAGGAAACGACGGAAGCACAGAAGAGATGACGTGTGGGAGGCCCTTTGTAAACAAAAGGAAACATATTGTTTTCCCGGGGCGCTGGATTGTAGATTACTCTCTTCAGAGCAGACGGGAGATGCTGCTTACCTAATTTAGGCATGCGTTCTCCTTCTGGTGGAGAATGTGGAATACTACTGGGAAAAAGGAGAGAATGAGAAATCCTCAAGAATATGCACAATAGAGACATTCACAGAATGTCTTTGAATTCTTTTTGTCAATTTATTTTTGGGGGAACAATTTTATTGTATAGGACCTATTTACATATCTAGATACGTACACAAAGCACCCATGCTCTTTAAGCCCTGGCTGGGGGCGCTGATACTGAGGAATCTGCCTCAAGAGCGTAGTGGGGAATTTATTGGCTTCCTGGCAGATACAGCTTCATCACACAAGTGCTGTCTATACTGAAACTGGTGGACTCAAAAGGAGGCTGGATATTTTTAGCACGACACGCATGACAATTTATCTGCTTGGTGGCTGTTCTGCTGATTAAGTCATTATTTAAAGCAAAACAAACTAAAAAAAAAATAATTTTCTTCCCCGTTTGGATTTGTTTAAGGAAATACTGCTCTGATTGGCTCACGGGAGGAATTGGAAATACGCTGACGGGGGCGGACATTGTGGGTTCTGGGATGGTGACGGGCAGGGGTGGGGATACGCTAACTAGATTGCATTTGCAAATAGCTTGAGTGAACCTGGTTATAAGGACTAGTTTTGTACATGTGTGTTGGTAAAACTTTTTAATAGTGGTGAATCACTTGCTGTTTGAGCTCCCATGTGTGGGACATTAATGTACTTTTTGATTTGCTCATTGGTCTCAGTTATAATACACTGTTTTATTTTATTTTTTTTAAGTTGCTAATTGTCAAACCACCCTACCTTGGAAAATTTCTTACCTGTAATGTTCGATTCTCATTTCTTTATTTTCTGTGCTTTATGAGGCAGTCCCCCATGCAGCTTTGAACTACCAGAGACCAACGCAGGGATTTATTCTGTACAACTTGGATACTTGCGTTGGTATCCCCTCATACAGAACTTTCTGTGAATCCCCTGAACGATCATCTTGAATGAATCCCTCACTGGAGACAGGAGGGCCCCTGATGAAAGAGTGTATTAGAGGGGCTTCTGATGTTACAGAGCCCTTGATCATACTGCTTAAAGCTAGCTATAGAAAGAAAGAAAAGAGAAAGACAAATGGAGAAACTTGACAAGAAAGCAAAACTTTTCAGTTATCACCCAGAGATAAGTGCTCAAAGTCATTAGTCTTTGTGCTAAAAGCCAGTTTTACCTGTAAATCTCTCAGTAATTACTAGTTTTATCCATCCTTGATTATTTTACTTTTCTCAAAGCCTTGTTACGTAACATGCTATATGCTAATTATCAACGCCAATGAATCCCTGACTAAAGACAAAAGGATACCTGATGAGAGAGTCTGTTACGGGACCTTCTGATATTAAGAGGCCATTGAAGCTAGCTAAAGAGAGAGAGTATCAAACAACAAGAAATATTCATGATTCATTTTCTTCATTACATACTACATGCTAAAATGGCCCGGGATGCTAACCCTGTTTCCTTTCTGTTGATAGTCACTTCAGTCTGACAGTTCCTGTGGTGACAGTTTAGATTTCTTGTGAATCCTTTTTACTCATGGTAAATTTGATTGAACTCCAACATCAGGGAAAGGGAAACTTCTACTCTTTTTTTTTTCAGCATGAAGCGTATAAATATAGAAAAATAGAAATAGATTGGTAATTTGGATCTCCCAGATCAGGTCCTCCTCTTTGCTTTTGTGCAAACTCACTTGGTCAACTACTCCATGCGTCCTAACCAGATGCGACACAAAGTGACATACGGTAAAAACGTATTTGTTACCTAACATAACCTCGGTTCTCTCTAGAAGAGGGAACGAGTATTGCGCAAGTTAGCTTACGCTACTGGAAAGATTCATCTTTTTGAGATGTTGAAGCCCAAAAATTATCCTTCATTTTTGTATTCATTTTCAATGCAGTGTAGCAGCTAACAGACCTAGAGCAGGCAGTCTAGCGTGCTCATTGGCTCCCCTGTGGCAACTACTTGCAGCCTACCACAGAACTCGGCGTGACGTCATGTCCAACATAGGGTGCTCGCGCCCTCATCGTGTCTTAGCCCGCCAGAATAAGTGAGGCTCGGAGGCTGTCTCCCTGGATTTCAGCTTGTGCCGCAAGCATGACAGGTTACGCAATACTTGTTCCCTCTTCTAGAGAGATCCGAAATGTTCTCTTACAAGAGGTCCTCTCGTATTGCGTAAGTTAGCTTACGCTACGGGAACCCTTTGTCAATGCCGTGTATGCCAAGCATCCACTTCATGAGTCCCAGGGAATCCTGGGGATCCCAGACAAGCGGTGGCCAGCAACGCGGGCCGGCACAAGAACATAAACACTCATGGGTAATACAGAGTGGTGCCGCCGATCCGTATAAGCATGTAGCATATTAACCCAATACAGTGCAGCTCAACTAGGAGAGCTGTCACATTAGAGTAGCCTCCGCATGATCAGATATGGACAGAACGTACATCTAACTTATACTGACTAACTTATATAAGTTTAGCCTGTGTGGTGGGAACTTCAGGTTATAGAACCTAACAAATGTGGGCGGGGAGGCCTAGCCCGCCTTCACACATATGTTACGAATTGAAATTCCGCTGGACCATGCCCACGACGAGGCCATGCCTCTAGTGGAATGAGGCCTGACACCCAAATGGCATTGCAGACCTTTTGACGCATAGGCAGGTGCGATCGCATCCACTATCCATCAGGGCAGGCTTTGTTTCGAGGCGGCGAGACCTTTGGTGCGCCCAGCAAATGAAACAAAAAGCGGATCCGAGTGCCTGAAAGGGGTGGAGCGCGTAATGTAAGCTCTCAGCACCCTGACTGGGCAGAGGAGATTAACATCGCTCTCGCATTTGGATGCTGGCAGAGCCGATAGAGAAATGATCGGAGTGCCAATCACTTTAGGGACATAGTCATGTCTTGGTTTGAGGATGACTAGACTCAAGACACGCAATGCTGACAACACGTGTAAGTCCCCCACTTGTTCGACTGATGATAGAGCAGTCAGAAAAACGGTTTTGAGTGAAAGGTACTTTAGATCCTTGGAATCTAACGGTTCTAAGGGATAAGCATTCAGGGGAGGACCAAAGAAAGATCCCATATACGAACAGACGGGGGGCACTGGGGATTCATCCTCCTGGCTCCTCTAAGGAAGCGGATGACTAGCTCGTTCCTGCCTAGTGATCGGCCGCGCGTCGACTCTGCGAACGCTGCAATGGCCGCCACATAGACTTGAAGCGTGGAAGCATGAGCCACAGAATGTGAGAGACATTTTTAGAAAAACCTCGCGTGATCTTTTAAAACGGGTGGTGTCACAGCGGCAAACACGCACAGAATATAGCTCAGAAAAAAAGATACGTCGCAGGATAGTGTAGCTCGCACGGATGGCTGAAGGCGGCGAAGACGACCAGCTTCTTCAGGCGCTGTCCTAAGCTGGCTTTTCCCTTCTTAAAATGACGGCTTCTCTCGGAATCCAGTGATGCGAAGAGCTTCGCTGAAGAGATGAAAATCAGGGAGCCAATATCCGAACCCTGCTTATATACGCTAAGCCACAAGCATTCTGGCCGGCTAAGACGCAATGAGGGCGCAAGCGCCCTTCATTGGACGTGACGTCACTCTGGGCTCAGTGGTAGGCTGCTGCCGTTGCCGCAGGGTAGCCAATGAGCACACTAGACAGCCTGCTCTAGGTCTGCTAGCTGCTGTACTGGGTTGACAATGAATACAAAAATTAAGGATAATTTTTGGCCTCAATATCTCGAAAAGATTCATCTTTCCCATATAATAAGCTAACTTACCCAATATGAGAGAACCTCTCGTAAGAGAACTATACTTTTTGTGTGCTGTAAATCAGAGTTTATATCCTTAACAATGGCAGGACATTTTGACAAATCCTGCTCCACATAGCTAAATTTTAAAGATCAAATATGTTCTGATTGGCTGTGTCTGCTTTCAAACAACAACATTACATAGAGATGGAAATGGAGTAATGACCAAAGTGAATACATTAGATGTCTTTTTTTTTTTCTAGCAGCACAGCCTTTCACATATTAAGGTAATTAATAAATAGTTGGTGTGGAAAACATTGGGATAAAACACCGAGTAAATACCTGGGCCCTGGTGAATAGCTAGAGGCAGAGAACTAATGAGGGACGAGGGAAGCCAAGGAAGGGAACAAGATTGAAAGAATCGTGCTGCTCTTTCTCCTGATCAGCCAACTTGTGACACACTCTGTCCCCAACATGTTTCCATTCAGGACACAATCTCCTCTGGGCTTATCCTCTGTGTTCTGCCTTCACCTGTGACAACCTTGTTCAGTACAAATGGGCCAGAGAGAGCATCACTTTTCTGTATGCCAATCCCCATCTGCAGGTATGCATATGCAAAGTCAGCCTGCCTATGTGTACCCCTGCAAAGGAAGCTCCTTTGAACGATATTAAAATTTAATGAACCGTACACCGGTGGGGTGTGCGGAGGATTCATCTTGTGCATGCATTGCACATTTACCAAGGAGAGAGATGGGATTCATCTGGATTTGGGAAGATCCACAGCTCAGTATGTTTTTTTCACACACATGCACATATGTTCACATACACACATGCCAGGACAAGCCTTGTAACTGAATGTAATGCAAGACTGAGGGCCATTTTCTTACAAACAGCAACCAAATTTCATTATATGTTTATTTTCTACTGGCTGACCTTGAAAGAAGATCAAAATGGCTGTTGAGAACTACAGAGGGTTGTTGTGATGTAGATTATTTGTCATTTTGTCTTTCTTTCTGGTTAAATAGGATTTAATCTTCTGGAGCACAATAAATGATTTTATCAAGCTCAATTTACATTAGTCTTTCTTTATCTCTCGTTTGCCTATATGGTTGTATATCATGTCCAGAATTTTGCCAGTCAACACTCAGAGATAACATCTTGGGTTAATTCACTAATGCTGAAAATGTGACGGTTTGTGTAAGAAAACGAACCATATTTATATCGTTTTTACCACTCGTTACCACAGCCACAAAGCGCCCGCGCCCTCAGATCACTTGGACGTGGCTGTGGTTACAAGAGGTAAAAACAATATAAATACGGTTCGTTTTCTCACACAAACCGCTCGTGTCGTGTCTTTGGCTATTTACGAGTCATTAAATCATATTTAATTTGGACTTCTCTGTGCATGCTCTTTGAGGTTGTGACCATAGACATATGCCTGACAGACAACAACGGTTTGACCTAAAAATTACTGTGGAAACAAAGACACCTACATCTTGGATGCCATTGAGGTAAGCTAAAACATACCAAAAAATGTATTTCAAAGTAAACTATCCCTTTAAACTAGATTATGAGTGATTATTGAATAAGATACAGATTGTTTCACTGAAATACCATGCATCAATGTGGCACAACTGTTTACTGTATTCGCCCCATGCAAACACAATCGTGGAGGACAGTCACCCACTACAGAACTGTTAAATTGGCACAGTTACCCTGTCTAGTTAATGTTGCCTAAATCTTACACAACGGTCAAAATTCTTATCCAGTTGTACCTCATGAGCAAATCCTTTTTACTTCAGAAATCTTGAATGTTTCAGTCTGTTTGACTATATCTTGGTTTAGTAAGGAGGGAAATTCAGGACATTTCTGTTCTTCAATAGGGTAACAATAGAGTATCTTTTTCTCATTAGCAATTGTGTGATCTTGTACGTGTGACAAATTAAAGGCGCTATCAGGACTTCCAAACTGGCAAACATTCATGGTATAATGAGTGAGAATATATGGACTTCAAAAGTTTTAAAGAATTTTTTTTTTGCATTTTAAAGCAAACTGATTCTTTGAATGATTAAACAGTTCTGTACACTTTTATTTAGGTAACATGGCGTGTTTTTTTTTTTTATTGTGTTTACAGTTTCATTCTAGTATTACATCTTTTACTTAAACCTCTACTCTAAGTGTGCTTTCACACCTGCCTCATTTAGTTCGGTTGAATCGCACTTGAGTTCGTTTTCCCTCTCGGTGCGGTTCTTTTGGGCAGGTGTGAAGGCAGCAATCGCACTCGGATGTGCACCAAAAGCTGACCAAACAAGCGTCGAGGTGGTCTCGGTGCACTTTCAAATGAACACTGGAGCGGTTCGTTTGTGGTGAGAACGTGATCCGACCTCGAACTGACCCAACTGCCAAATAACTGCGCATTTTTGGACTAAACCAGCTGCCGTAGTAAAACAATATGATTATGTATAAAGCCAATAGTGCTCCCTTTAAGCCATGACTGACTTACCGCGTTCTGCATGCTCACTAAAACTCTCATAATAAACACTGAAGTTGTCCGCACTGCACAGTGAATCTCTTAATTACATCGCGACTATACTTGTTTATGAGGGGATTTGCGCAAGGATAAAGCTTGTGCTGATTCTGAACATACATGTGAGTAAATTCTCCGCATGTCAGCCTGATTTTGCTTCTCTTTGTTTACTTTCGGGAGTTCAGTTGGAATTTTCACACATGTTAATTCTGACCAATCGAAGTTCTAACACAGTCTCATCCCAAAAAGTCATATAACTGACGTTTTGGGACGTATTTTGACCATACGTCAATATCAGCCTTTTTAGGGCCCCCTTAAACGTCGGTAGATGGCGATCCCGGGCCGTCATACAACTGACGCTTTACCTTTAACGTCAGTTAGGTGACGGGTTAGGTTTAGGGTTAGGTTTAGGTATGGGGTAGAGTTAGGATCCCATAACCTCATCTACCGACGTTTAAGGGGGCCCTAAAAAGGCGAATATTGACGTATGGTCAAAAGACGTCCCAAAACGTCAGTTATATGACGTCTTGGGGTGAGACCGGGTTGGAAGTTCAGTTATAAAAATATGTTCAAGACATATCTGGCCAACGAGTAATGTGGAAGTTGTCACATGACTATATTTTGGTTCGTTTCATCAACTCATCAACTGATTCGGACCAGAGCAATCAGTGTGATGTGGAAACGAACCAAAACCCCTGAAAAATGCTACGAAGTATAATTTTTCGCCCTTGGTCCGGACCAAATGAGCCAAACTACAGATGTGAAAGCACTAGGGTTGCACGATATATCGGCCACCATATCGGTATCGGCCGGTATATGTTCATTTTTAAAGCTATCGTTATCGGCCCGATAAGAAAATTTGGCCGATATTTTAAAGCCGATGAATAAATGTCTCCTCCAGCTGAGACGCTTCAGATGCGCACTGTTCAAAATGATGTTATTTTGCTTGAAATATGATTGGAAAAGGGGGAAAAACAGTGAAGTTCAACATATAACAAGTTTGTCATATAAATGACATAAAATAACATTATAATCGTGTGTTTGGGACATTATACAAACATTTGGATCTTGATTTATCGGCCAGTATATCGTTTATCGGCTTTCAAATATAAATTTATCGGTTATCGTATCGGGCAAAATTTTCATATCGGTCCGCTTGGGCAATCGCACTCGGGTGGGCACCAAAAGCTGACCAAACAAACGTACTGAGACTTCCTAGAGGAGGTGGTTTCAGTATGCTTTCAAACGAATACTGGAGCGGTTCGTTTGTGGTGAGAACATGACCCGACCTCGAACAGACCCAACTGCCTAAGCTGTTCATTTTTGGACTTAACCATCTGCCGTAGTCATTCTCGAAATGTATATTTTACCTAAAGTGGTGTATAAAAACTATGTAGTATATGATGACCAGAGATGCAATTAGCCGCGCAGTCGCCTCCTCTCTTTGTTTACTTATGGCAGTTCCGTTGAATTTTCCTCGACGTTTATTCCGACCAAACGAAGAGCAGTTTAGGAAATACGTTCAAAGACGCATCTGGCCAACGAGTGATGTGGATGTTGTTTAGTGATGTTGTCACTGAAAGTTACCAACTTAAGAATTAAAGAGGTAAACTCTATTAAAGATAAACTATTAAATAGATTCTGAGAGATGTTAAAAGCTTTTTAATGCAAACCTGGAAACACAATGTTGAGCATCTACATAAATTTAATGAACTGAAAGAGATTTATAGCCTTGGTAATTGGAGTTTACAGAGAAATAGTTGGGGCTTTAGGGACATTTACATACAAGGTTGAATTGATTTGCCTTTCTTCTTTATTATTATGCACCGCTGCATCAGTCCACCAATCAACTGATCTGAAATTTTCAAATAGCCTGATTAGAGACTCTTCCATAGGCATTTTTACATTTGAGAAATTCTCTGTGGTTAGAAGATATTAAATTCAAATTATTACCAGACGATAGCCTTGAAAAGTACTGACAACTCTGCGAATTTGAAGTTCTATTGAGATAGGAACGAGTTCATCATGCCACAAATGACTTTAACTCAAAAAGTTTGTGGAGAAGGGCATTCGCAGGACGTTTTAGAGTAATTTCAAGCCTTGTTCGACAGCACTTTGCCATTTCCCATTATGATGTACTTTTCAAACATCGAACAGTTTACCTCTGATAACCGCTTTCATTTCCTCATTGTGTTTGATCAGCCGTTTCTCTAATTTTCTCTGTCTCCAAGTGTTTTATGACCTTTGATAATCACAGTGTATTTAAACAAGGTCGTCTGGACGGCTCTCTCCTGATTAACACATCATCACACTGTTTTGTTAGGGTATAATTACATATGTTCACGGCCGTGACACTGGAGTATGTCATGTATTCAGATTGAAGAACTTGTTAGCTTTTCTAATAACCAAAAAGGTTAACCCAAATATTTTTGCCTCACCAAAAATAGAAGAAGAAGAAAAAAAGCCCTTGACTCTTTGCGGGTGCTTAGACCACCACAAACATTCCTCATTCCGTTAAGAAATATTATCATGTTTATTTTACTTGTTTCATGACCTTGATGAAATGTAACTCCAAATCAGGAAATTCTGGTCAGTGAATCTAATAGGACTCTTTTCATTTGTTTTGTAACTTGCTGTAAAACATAATTATTGTGATTATACTTCTGATATATATTCAGTTAAAGTAGTTCACTTTTAAAAAAAACTTTTGCTGATAATTTACTCACCCCCATGTCATCCAATATATCCATGTCTTTCTTTCTTCAGTCGAAAAGAAATTACGGTTTTTGATGAAAACATTCCAGGATTTTTCTCCATATAATGGACTTCAATGGGAACCAAATGGTTCAAGGTCCAAAATACAGGTTCAGTGCAAACTGCAAACTGTTCAAAGGGCTTTAAATGATTTCAGACGATGAATAAGGGTCTTATCTAACGAAACGATCACTCATTAAAAAAAAAAAAAAAAAAAAAAAATATAAGCTCAAATGGTTGCCTTGCTCTGTTCTGTGATGCACATTTGTGACTCTCCTGTTCAAACTCGTTTATCAAAATGAACAAATCTTTTTTTTTTCGTATTCATTTGGTTCATTCAACGAATGAAATGAACGAGTTGACTCGGGAAAAGATTTGTTCATTTTGATGAACGAGTTCGAATAGGAGAGTCACGAATGCACATCACGGAACAGAGCAAGGCGACCATTTGAGCTTATAAAACTTAAACTTTGTTTTTTTTTTTTTTTTTTTTTTAATGGCCGATCGTTTCGCTTGATAAGACCCTTATTCATCGTCTGGAATCGTTTAAAGCCCTTTGAACAGTCTGCAGTGAAACTGTCTTTTGGACCTTGAACCATTTGGTTCCCATTGAAGTCCATTATATATAAAAAAAAATCTTGGAATGTTTTAATCATAAACCTTAACTTCTTTTTGACTGAAGAAGGAATGACATGGACATCTTGGATGACATGGGTGTGAGTAAATTATCAGCAAAAGTTTTTTTTTTTTTTTTTTTAAGTGAACCACTCCTTTAAGTTAGATAATTA